TACTATTTCCCAGTCAAAGGTGATGCATCCTGTAGAACTGGTGTGTAGATAGGCTTTTCTTGCAGAAAGGTCAGAGGAGAGGCTCGGCATCTGACTGGCTGAAGTTGGGCACCTCACAGGACAGCCATCAGACCCCACAGAGCCACCCCATTTTCTCAGGTAATCGAAGACGCCAAAAGCCCGTGACATCTGTTCCGGCAGAAAGGTCAGAGGAGAGGAACGGCATCTGACTAGCTGAAGTTGGGCACCTCACAGGACAGCCATCTTAGTACTTAGGCTGACATAACTGCTCCTCAATAATTTGGAAATTTTCCCATCTGCTGATCTCCTGGCTGCTGGTACCAAGGATGTTGACTATGGATCCAACTAAGATAAAATCTTTAACAACTTTAATCTTTTTTCAATTTATTATGATATTGCCTATTGATCCAGTAGTAAGAATTTTTGTTTTCTTGACATTGAAATGCAATCCATATTGAAGGCTGTATTTTTTTTTTTCATTTTCTGCAGCAAATGCCTCAAGTACTCCTCACTTTCAGCAAGCAAGGTTGTCCCATTTGTATAATGCAGATAGATTATGGATGAGTCTTCTCAGATCTTGAGGCCACATTCCACTTCATAGAGCCCAGGTTCTTGAATAATTTTCTCAGTATACAGAGTACATTCAGGGAGAGAATACAACCCAGGTGCACTCCTTTATTAATCTTAAACCATGTAGCATTCCCTTATTCTATTAATACAACACTTTTTGGTCTAGGTATAGATTTTGCAAGAGCACAATTAAATTTTCTAGAATTGCCATTCTTTTCAATGTTAGCAATAATTTGTTATGATCCACACAGTCAAATGCCTTTGCATAGTCAATAAAGGATAGATTAACACTCTTCTGGGTATTCTTTACCTTCATCCGGGATCCAACTAAGACCAGCAATGATATCTCTGGTGCCATAGCTTCTGAATCCAGTTTGAAATTCTGGAAGTTCCCTTTCTATGTACAATTCTAGCTGGTTTTGAATGATCTTCAGCAGGATTTTGCTTGCATGTGATATTAATGATTTGATAATTTCCACATTCTTTTGTATTACTTTTCTTGGGAATGGGAATGGGAATAAGTATAGATCTTTTCAAGTTAGTCAGCTGACAGTTATCCTCCAAATTTTCTGGCATAAACTGGTGAACACATCCAGGGCTTCATCTGTTAGTTGGAATATGGTCTATTGGTATCCTATCAATTCCTAGGGCCTTATTTTTTGCTAATGCCTTCTAGAGTTCATTCACTGAAAGACTTAATAAGCAAAATTCCAAAGAAGTATATATTAAGAGTTTAGAATATTGCTTAAATGTTCATGACTGACTTGTAATTCTATCAACTTGTCTCCCAAATGGGTTTAAGGCCTAATTCACATCATCCTCCATAATATCACCTTCTCCATAATTTCTTAGGTTTTTATAAAAGAGAATTGTTGTAATTTACAAAATCATTGCTCCTATGAGCTGTGTAGTATTCCACTGTGTGAATGTACCATAATTTCTGAATCCATTAGATTGTGATTGGACATCTGGGCTGTGGTTTTGTAAATCACTACGTAACTTGGGAGGGACTGGAGAGCATTATGCTGAGTGAACTAATTCAGTCCTGTAAGGACAAATACTGTATAAAACCATTATTGTAGAATAAGTATGAAGATCCAGTGGCGGGGGCGGCAAAGCACAGGCATGAGGATGGATCCAGTGTGAAAAACAGTGTATTCAAATTTTGTAAATAAATCAGTATAAAATAATTTTTTAAAAATCCACAATGTGTAGGAATGATACTATGAAACACAACATGAATAAAAGAATGCATAAAGCACAATGTAAACAAAGCACAAGGTATATGAATTTTATATACAAACAAATATAAAATAATAATCTTTTTTAAAAGAATAGTTGTATTTATATTGAAGTACATTTATTTGTATTTATAAATGTGAAAACAGGCTGTTTAATAGAGTTACATCCATTTTCATTTTCTGGCCTAGAGAACACAATGATTTTTCATTGTATAATCTAAAAGAATACAACATATTCTTCCTAAAAATCAATCTTTAAAATGGTACTATAAGAGAAAAAGTTACCTAGTCCCTTTTTCAGACTTAACTAAAACAATTCAATTGTTATACTATGTGCTATCAGATTGGTTGATGGAGAGTCTATGTGCAACAGATCAAAACCTTGTCCAATCCTTCACTTCCTTACACTGTGTAGAAGGCCACTAGTGCAGTCATTGTACTAATCCATCTTGTTATAATGTAAAATATAAATACTCTAACTCAATAGTCATTTGGGCACATAAACCTATATAGGACTGAGTAAAGAAAAACTTACTTGATGATTTCTTGTGGTTCTTGAGATAAACATACAATGTTGTCACATTTCACTATGAAGAAAGATACAAAAGCATTCTGGTTAAACAGAAAACTGAATATATGACTTTATGTAGTCTCTTTCCAAAACTTCAATAAAATTATAATAAAAGAATAGAAATTATGTATAATGCCTCAAATAGAAGGAAAAAATAAAGATGAGGGTTGTTTATTTGTTGTTCTAACTTAAAATCGAAAAACAGATGTCAAAGAATAATTGTCTTAAAGGCCACAGAAATCTGAAACTTAATTGCATGATAAGAAGTCAACAGGAAGTGGGACAATTTTTACTTCAGAAGTTGGAAAATATTTAAAAAATTGAGGTACCAGGTGCATCTGAAAGCATGGGTATAGTACTGACACAAATCTAATGATTAGCCAACTCAGGCAGAGGAGAGGATATTTAATGTCTAGGAAAACTGAGCCAAAGTAGTTGGAGACTACAAAAGTAGCAAAATAAAAAACCCAAAGAGAACAAGAGTGTGGTCAGCTATGGAAATTGTTGTTAGTAGGTGCCATCAAGTTAATTTGAACTCTAAATGATCCTATTAACAACACATCCGAACCTTGTCCTATCCGGCACCATTCTCATGATCTCTACTATGCTTGGGCCCACTGTTACAGTCATTGTGTCAATCCATCTTGCTGAAGATCTTCCTCTATTTCTGACCCTCCACCTTTCCCAGCATGATGTCTTCTGCCAAAGACTGGCTCCTTTTGAAAACATGTCCAGAGTTTCCCTACCCACACCTCTAAGGAAGCACTCTTGCTGCATTTCTTCCAAGCCTGACTTGTTTGCTCTTTCAACAGTCCATGGGATATTCAATATTCTTCACCAACACCACAACTTAAAGGCATCATTTTTTCTGTCATCTTTATTCATAGTCCAACTTTCAGATGGATAGATAGAAAGCAACTTAAACCAAAGTCCCCCATGACTTGGATCAGGCATCTCAGTCCTTAAACTGACACTGCTGCTCTTCAGCACTTTGGAGAGGTCCTTGGTAGCTGATTTTTCCCAATGCAACACACTTTTTGATTTCTTGACTGTTGTTACCAGTATTGATTGTGGATCTAAGTAAAATGAATTCATTGACTTTAATCTTTTCTCTGTCTATCATGATGCTGCCTACCAGTCCAGAAGTATTTTTATTTTCTTGATGCTGAGATGAAATCCATATTTAAAGTCTTTGTTCTTCTGCAGCAAATGTCTTTGCACTTTCTGTAAACAAGGTTGTGTCACTGGCACACACAGGCTGTTGATGAATCTTCCTTCATTCTTGATGCCACATTATTCTTCATATTGTACAGTTTTTTCATATTATTTGCTCAGCACACAGACTGGATAGGGAGAAAGGATAAAATCCTGATACACACCTTTCCTAATTTTGAACCATGCAGTATTCTTTTTTTCAGCCCAGACAACAGTTTCCTGGTCTAGGCATAGATTTCTCATAAACACAAGTAAGTGTTCTGGGATTCTCATTCCTTTTCTGTGATATTCATATTGGTTATGAGGCATATAATCATAAAACAGGTGAAAAAGGAAAAGATCATAAAATGGATGTCAAAAGGGAATCTGAAAATTGCACGAGAATGTAGACAAACCAAAAAAGAAATGCCGAAGTAAAAGAGATGAAGAGACAGTTTCAAAGTGCAACTCAAGGAGACAAAGCAAAGTATTATAATGGAATGTGCAAAGAACAGGCATTAGAAAACAAAAATGGGAAAGTACGCTTGGTGTTTTTCAAGCTAAAAGAACAGAAGAACAAATTTAAGTCTCAAATTGCAATACTGAAAGAGTCTAATGGCAAAATAACCAATTCAGAAAACATCTAAAGAAGGTAGAAGGAATACAGAGTCACTATATCAAAAAGAATTAGTTGACACTGAACCATTTTAGGTAGGAACATATGATCGCGTATCAATGCTAACAAAGAAGCAGTTCACACTGCAGGAAAGGCACTGGCAAAAAGTAACGTCCCAGGAATTTAGAGAAGACCAATACACATGTTTCAAACAAACAGATGCAGCCTTGGGTGTGCTCACTAATCTATACCAAGAAATTTAGAAGACAGCTACCTGGAAAACTGAATGGGAGAGGGGGCATATTTGTTCCCATTCCATAAAAATAGGATCTAAAAGAATGGGGAAATTATAGAGAAATATTATTAATATCACATGCAAGGGAAATCTTGCTAAAGATTGTTTTTAAAAGGCTGGAGGAGTACACTGATAGGGAACTGCCAGAAATTACAGCTGGATCAAGAAGATATGACCTGAGGGATACCAATGCTGATGTCAGATGGATCTTTTCTTTCAGAAAATACCAGAAAGATGTTCCCTGTGTTTTACTGACTACATGTGATAAGTCAAATCATACAGAATAGAAAAGATTCCTAGTTGGTTTTTATTTTCACTATGCAGGTCTCTGATTATAATGGGCTAGCATTTCTCTCTTTTTAGGCACATGACTTACCTCAGAAAAAATAAACAGTCTCTTACCATTCGGTCAGTTCTGACCCATTATGACCCTATTTGTTAAGCGCTGTCTAGCCAAGTGCAACTCACAGTGACCCTATGAACAGACCTGAACTCTGTCATATTCTGCACCATCCTTATTATTTACAAACCTTTTGAGTCCACCATCACAGACACTATATCAACCCATATAATTGGGAGCCTCTTCTTTGTTGACCCTCTACCTTTCCAAGCAAGATGAACCTTTCCAAAAAATAGCCTTTCCTAGAAACGTGTCCAAAGTATATGGGGAAAAAGCTTCAAACATCTTTGTCTCCAAGGGACATACATTCTTATTGGACTTTCTCCAAAATATAACAATTAGTTCTTTTCCCTATCCATAGGATATTCAGTACTTTTCTCCAAAACCACAACTCAAAGGCATCAATTCTTCCTCTGTTATCCTTATTCACTTTCCATGTCTCAGATGCATAGCAGGTGATTGGAAAGACTATGGCTTAAATAAGGTACACCTTATTCTTTAAACTGACATAAATGTTCTCCAGGACTTTGTCATTTTTTTTTCTCCTTTCTCTCTTTTCACCTCCATGACTATGAAGAGGTCTCTGACAGCAGACTTTTCCAAAGCTTTATCTCCCAACCTCCTAGGTGCTGGTACCAAGGGTGTTGACTGTGGATCCAAACAAGATGAAATTGACAATTTCAATCTTTTCTTCATCTATCATGATGTTGTGCATTGGTCCAGTGGTGAGGACCTTCATTTTCTTGACTTTGAGATATAATCCAAATTGAAGGCTGCAGTCTTTGATCCTCTGAAGCAAATGTTTCAAGTCCTTTTCACTCCCAGCAAGCAAGGGTGTGTCATCTGCATAATGCAGGTTGTTGAGTCTTCCTCCAATCCTGATGCCATATTCTTCATAAAGTCAAGCTTCTTTAATGATTTTTCTCAGCATACAGATTGAATAATGTAAAACTTCCCAGTATGCTTGTCAAGGCTGCAATTTTTACAGAAGCATACCAGATGGCCATGTCCTTCTCCTGAGAAGTGGCTGGTGGGTTCAAATCACGACTCCTTCAGCTAACAGCTATTTGAGTATCATACTATCAGGGTTCCTTCAAGAGAAACAGTTTACCTTAATGGAAAGCCAGGTCTTCAATGAATAATCATTTTATAAACTAATCAGAAGATCTCCCAACATTTTTAATGCAGCTTTCATTGTAGATCCCTGATATAAAATGGATAGTTAAATATCAATGGACATTTGAGCAAAGCCAATATCAAGGAAGAGAGAAAGTAAAGCAACAAATTGGGCATAGGAGTGGAAAATAGAATTAAAAAAAACAAACAAACAAATACTCTCAGAAAAGCAAACAAAAGGGAAAGAGATGAGTAATAGGAAAGAATAATTTTGTGTTGTTGTTAGAGAAAAAGGACCAACATCCAAATCATAGTAGATTTAGATGAGTGAGTAGGGAAAGGGAGAGTGGGGAAATGATAAAAGAAATAGTAAAAGAAAATTTTCAGAACTGAGGAATTAGAGCTCACCGCTTTCATTAATCTATATGATACTGTACATGTATGTGTGAGAAAGCCAAAATAAACAAACAAAAAACCCCACAAAGAAACATAAGGGAATTTCAGATGGCTAAAAGTAAACAGAAGATTCTAGAGTAACTACAAATCACACATGAAAAAATGGACACCTCAATTAATCAGATTTCTCAAGAGCAACACTAAAACCTAGGTAATAATAAACAAATTTTTTAAATTCTAAGAGATAATTGTTTCCAAATGAAAATTTAATATCTAAACAAGCTGTGAACATATGAAAGTTGAACAAATAAATTCTAAACATACAAAGTTCTAAGAGATTTAGCTACATGAGCCCCTCAGATGAGCTCCTAATGAAGATGTGCTCCCAAGTGAAGGAAGAAATTGGTAAGGAGGAGGACAAGGGCTCAGGTCAGAGTACCAACCCAAGAGGAAGGGGAACGGTAATCCCAAAATACCCAGGCTGCGAGCCTAGACAAATTCCAATTCAGAATTAAAGGACTGACCATCTTAGAAGTAATTTCACAGCTTTGCCAGAAGAGTAGGAGAACAGTTGTCAATATGGTGCACTGAGGTAATCTGGGGTTGCTGTGATGTTGAACCTTGTGCCACTGGGGTGTCAAATGGCATAATGGTTACCCATGGTGGACAGTATTTAGTGGAGCTCCCAGTTTAAGACAGGTTTGGAAGCAGGAATGGCATCCACTTCCTAAACAACAAGCCTCTAGAAACTCTATGAACTTTGATAAATATCAATAGTTGTAGAAATACTACAGGCCTTTGTTAATAGGATCGCTATGAGTTATGTTCAAATTGAAGGCAATCAGCAACAACAACAACAAAGTGGGAGAGCTATAGGAAACAAGAAAATTAAAAATCAAGACATTTATAAAGCATAAAAGATATCTGCTCACTTGTGAAGAATATTGACATAGTCATAAGTAATCAAATATTCTGATATAACTACAATAGGTGGATGGGGGAAGATGTGTAAGTGAAGGACAGTTTCATGTTACTGTTGTTTCATGTCACTGTTGCTGTTATGGAAGAAGTCTAAAAATAATTTCTCAAGTGGAGCACCCCAGAAATATATAGATAAACTTGGAAATAGAGTAGAAAATAGCAGAATAAATGTGTTGAAAGCTGTTTTGGGGGCAGTCCTCAAGTGGACACAATTTTATTATAGAGAATACATCTTTAAAACAATATAACTAGGTTCAAGTGAAAAGTTAAATTATATATATCATTCAGTCAGTCAGTCAGTAATTTCACAGGTTATTTTATATTTTAGGTTCAGAAGACACAGTCATGAATTGCTGAGTACTATAAATATATTAGTGTGTTAGTAGATCAGACACGGGATCAGCACAAAGTGGGACCAATCCTCCTGTGGACAAACCAACTTCAAAATAACCAGGAACACTGCAAGTGTCATAACATGAGATGGTGCAAAGTGCTTGGTCAACAGCATCTTGGTTTTCTTCAGAACCATAAGCCCTATGGAAGAGTATGTGAACCTATGGACCCCCAAGAGAAAAAGTGCTATGAATGGTTAATTTGACAGAGGAGGATGGCAGTGTGAGATTACCCAATAAGCAAGGTAAGCATGCACTGGTTTGTGTTTACTTAGTAATCTGAAGTGAACAACTTCAGAGCATACAAATAGCTATGAAAGTAAATCACAAATAAACAAAGAGTAAACCACAAATCAGTGATGCAGGCCATGGTTTTTGCAATTACTTGCTATGCATCAGAGAGCTGGACAATGACGAAGGATGACAGAAGAAGAATTGATGGCTTTGAGTTGTGGTGCTAGAGGAAAAGTCTTGAACATACTTGAACTGCCAAGAAAGCAAACAAGTCTGTCTTGGAGAGGGTGAAACCAAGTTTCTTTTTAGAATCTAGGGTTTTGAAGCTCTGTCTCACATACTTTGGGCATGTGGCCAGAGGTCCTTGGAAAAGGAAGGATGTCATGCGCAGAAGGGTGGAGGGACAGTGCAGGAGAGGAAGACCCCAGATGAGATGGATTGATATAATGACTGGGGCAAAGGGGGTAGGTGTGTCAGAATCAGCGAGACTGGTTCAGGACAGGGCAGGCTTCAGAGCTGCTGTACATATGGTCACTTTGAGTCAAGGTGACTTGACAACACAAGCCACAAATAAATTTTTTAAAAAAGGTTTCAATTTTAGATATGGCTGGCATCTCTAACTTCTATAGCATCTTCCTACAGAATCAAAACCTCTTCAAATTTACAGTCACCTGAAAGCAGGGTAAGCATAAATAAGGAAACCTATTGTGAAATTATTCACTACAGATTAGTAAGTAATTACCAGCAAGCACATGGTTACCTGAATATCAGGAAATCTGCACCTGGAATTTGATCAGCAAGGCCTTCTGACTAAAGACCTAAGGATACTCGGTATGACGTGAGGGGAGTGGACGGAAAGGGCAGGATGTAAATGAAAGAACTGTGCTATGAGGAGTCCATCTCTTGGTTATGGGGAACTCTTCCGGGTACAAGAAGTCAACATAATTACTTCACTAGCTGGAGAAACCATGGACTGTATCAGGTGCACCTTAGTCTCCAGAGTGACATGGTCTTTGTAATCACTTGCTATGTATCAGAGAGCCGGACAATGACTAGGGATGATAGTAGAATTGATGCCTTTGATCTGTGGTATTGGAGAAGAGTATTGAATATACCATGGACTGCTAAGAAAACAAACAGGTTCATCCTGTTGTTGTTGCTGCTATGTGCTGTCGAGTTGCTTGCGACTCATAATGACCCTATGTACAACAGCCCTAAACCCTGCTCTATTCTGTGCCAATCGCTCTGTCTCCAATACACTCACCCTAAATACCCCAGTCACTGAATCAATCCACTTGAGGGTCTTCCCCCTCGTGCGCTGTCCCTCCACACTTCCAAGCATGATGTCCCTCTCCAAGGACTGGTCCCTCTTTATAACACGTTCAAAGTATGTCAGACAAAGCCTCAGAATCCTTGCCTCCAAGGAGCACCCCGGTTTAACCCTCTCTGGAATAAATCTGTTTGTTTTCTTAGCATTCCATGGTACACTCAGTACTCTTCTCCAGCACCACAACTCAAAGGCATCAATTCTTCTATCCTGCCTAGTCACTGCCCAACTCTCTGATGCATAAGAAATGATTGCAAAGACCACGGCCTGTATCAGACACACCTCAGTCTCCAGAGAGACACCATTGCTCTTCAGTACTTTGGAGAGGTCCTTAACAGCAGACTTTCCCATTACAATACGTCTTTTAATTTCCTGGCTGCTGGTGCCAAGAGTGTTGACTGCGGAGCCAAGAAGACTAAAGCTGTGTACAATCTCAATCTCTTCACCATCCATTCTGATGTTGCCAATTGATCCAGTGGTAAGAATCTTTGTCATCTTGACATTGAGCCTCAATCCATATTGAAGGCTGCAGTGCTTGACCCTCTGCAGCAAGCACTTCAAGTCCTCCTCAGTTTTAGCAAGCAGCGTGTGTCATCTGCATAATGCAGATTGTTGATAGATCTTCCACCAATCATGATGCCACACTTCTCCTCATAGAGGCCAGCCTCTCAGAGGGTTAAACCAGGCTGCTCCTTGGAGGCAAGGATTCTGAAGCTTCGTCTGACATACTTTGGATATGCCGCAAGGAGGGACAGTTCTTGGAGAGGGACATCATGCTTGGGAGGGTGGAGGGACAACACAGGAGAGGAAGACCCTCTATGAGGTGAATTGATTCAGTGACTCAGGTAGTTGAGGTAGGTATGTTGGAGACAGTGAGATTGGCACAGGATAGAGCACGGTTTAGGGCTGTTGTACATAGGGTCACCATGAGTTGCAGGTGGCTCGATGGCACCTAACTACAACAACTGAAGAGAAGAATACAAGGCAACGGAGTTAGTAGTAAAGAAAACACGAGCAGACTGAGCAATGAGCACACCAAGGGGCCAATAGAGCAGAAAGATTGAAAGGCTCCAGGGCCTCCCATTTCTATCAGACCCTTACAAGGAATGCATAGAGAGGAAAATCTTCACAAAAAACACTGAAACTTTTGCTAATCAAGAGGAAAAGGAGACTCATGTCAGTATGATTTTGGGTACTATAAGGGAAGCCTGGAAATAGGCATTCCAGATCAAAGAGCTAAAATCAGACATTCCATCTTTGTGATGGGTAGACTCTCTCTGGTACCATCAATTCATGAAATCATTTAAAGATGCTATGCTTATGATTTCTAATGATGTAAAAAAAAACCCACACTGATTGTCTTGGTAGAGTTATAGCAGGAATGATTTTAGTACCATTTCATTACTAAAAATGGATACAGAAAATATTTAAGTATCCTCTTCTAAAACAGTCATTTGTTATATATGTCTAATTAATAACTGCCAGATAACAAGAAGGCATTTCTTACCTTCTAATGGTTTATGGTAATCCTTTTGAACTGTTAGTTGGTACAGAGGTTGATTGGTCATTAACAGGTGGGCTGCCTCCAAATTCACTGGATTTTCTAGCACTGGATTAGAAAGCATAACCTATAGGAAACAGATACAATTTTAAAGTTATTTTTTCTCCTTAGATTAAAAAAACAAGCCAATACACACAAACTTCAACAGGTATTAATGCCTACTATATATCTGGAGATATAGATAGTTATGAAAAATGAAACATAATCCCTACTCTCAAGAAACATCTCTAGAATTCTACCAACTACAGTATGTTCAGTCCCACAAAGAGATGACCAAAAGTAAGTAAAGCTTATTAATTCTGATGGCACATGATCTTGTTTTCCGACACTTTAAAATTAACAGTCTATAAGTTGAAATTATCTATTCAATAATTTTAATAATTAAATGGAAAAAATGTCAATAAGAAAACATACCTAAAGATCCTCACCAAAATACCTACATGTAGACACAGGTCAAGGTGGGTAATGGTGACTTAAGAATAATGTAAATTGTGTCAATTTTTCATTTATAAAAGCAAATGTCTGACTATCTTAAAGTGAACAAGAATTTTCTACTGCTTAAGTTTTCTTGTTTGGAAAATACACTGGGCTCCATTTCCAAGAACATTTTAACTATGTAAATAAGGATTTGGTACAGATTGCACTAAAAATACTAAGACATAGCCATCAAGTCAGAACCAACTCAAAATTGATTCAACATTGGGTTTTCAGAGGCTATAAATTTGATGCTTTGGTGCTGGAGAAGAGTACTGAATATACCATGGATTGCTAGAAGAACAAACAAGTTCGTCCTGGAGAGGATTACACAGGCTTCTATTTGGAGGCAAGTATTCTGAAGCTTTGTCTGACATACTTTGGACATATTGCAAGGAGGGACCGGTCCTTGGAGAGGGACATCATGCTTGGAAGGGTGAAAGGACTGTGCAAGAAAGGAAGACCCTCGATGAGATGGACTGATTCTGTCACTGGGATAATAGAGATGTTGGAGACAATAAGATTGGCAAGGGATAGAACAGGGTGTAGGGCTGTTTGTACATAGGGTCACTATGAGTCGCAAGTGACAATGGCACATAACAACAACAAATGATAAATTGCATAGTAGGATACTTGCTTGTCTTTCTGCTGTGAGGTCTAGAGAGGCTCCACTTTTGTTTGAGCAATGCAATCTCCAGCAGATCGTGCCACCGGAGCTGCCCCCAGATTGCTCTGTCCTTCCTTAAGTGTCTGAAAAGAGCAAGCTCTTGTTTGTTGGCTAGAGAAATAATCGTATTCAGAGAGGCACACCTGGTAAAGTGTATTAAGCAATCTTTCATTAACCACGGTGCTTAAGGCCTATTCGTATACTGGCTCATGAGCTATTAACTGTACTTAATGATTTTTAAGACTTGCCAATATAAATACATGTTAACATGCATAAATCAGATACCTTGCTAAAACAGTAAATAAAAATCCAACTTTTAAATTATCTGTGTTCTAAAAAGCCTTTCAAGAAATAAGTATTGCCACTAGGCCGCCAGTGCTCCCTATAATAACTCCAAATACTAGTAAAAAATTCCCACCCACTACCCTGAGTGATTCCAACACACAACCACCTGACAGGACAGAGTAGAATGACCCAGAGGGTTTTCAAGGATAAGTCTGTTTTTTCAACTCCCCCCCCCCAGTTTTACATTGGTTTGCGTACAAAGTTCGTATACATTGTGTTCCATACATGCATTCTCACTGTGTTATAAAATCAATTACCATTAAACCATGCCAATCATTATTCTCTTTCCAGATTCCCACCAGACCTTTTTAATTTCCTTTACCCCTCCTCCACCTACCAAATTGTGTGACTCTGTGACTTCTCCACTGTTCAATTTCACCCCTCTGTTCCCACCCCTTGGATCCCACAAACACATTTTACTGGTTTTCCTTCTATTTTTACAATGATGGTCCTAGGCAGTATTTACCCTTATGAGACTGAATTAGTTCACTCAATATAATGCTCTCCATCTCTCCCAAGTTATGCAGTAATTTTTTAAATTGTTGCTCCTGGTGCTCCATAGTATTCCATCATGTGAATGTGCCACAGTTTTTCAATCCCTTCAGTTGTGGTTGGACATTTGGATCATTTCCATGTTCTTATTATTGTGAATAACGCTGCTGTGAACATTGGCATACAAGTTTCCATTTGAGTCTCAATTTTAATTTCCTTGGTATATAATCCTAGGACTGGAATAGTTGGATCATATGGAATTTCTATGTTCAGCTTTTTGAGGAAATATCAAACTGCCTTCCAGAGTAGATTAAGTCTTTATGGACAGAGTCACATCTTTGTCTAGCAGCTGGTGGGTTTTAACCACTACACCAGGACTCCTTGCAAACAATTTCACCAGTTGGTAAATTTTATACATTTTATAACATTCAATTAAGTAAGACCTCATTAACTTGGAATTAATTCTGTGAATGACTATTGTGTTGACATTTATCTTTGCATATTTGAAAGCACAAGTTTTCAAAAAGTTAAAAATTAGGTGATGATTAAAATATGTGGGCTTTAAGACAGTTTACATGTGTCTTGTTTGTCCTACAAATTACAGTAGACATTAATCATGGTCTAGGAAGCTCATGTGACCTAGTAAATATACTGCTACACTGTCAACTCAACTGCAGTGAGTTCAAACAAGCTTCACTGTGGCCAAAGGATAGGCAATCTCGGCGCCAAGATCCTGCTGTACTCTGTGAATATGGTGCTGTGAGACCCGCGTAAATTCACAAACATGAATAGGTGATTATAGAAAGCGGTGTTGGAACAGTGGGAATCGCAATTTTGCACAGAAAGCTTTGGGAGATGTTGCTTACTATAGCCTCTTGAAGTTGGGACAAAATTGAACAAACAAGATGAGTTTGGTGCTCCCGTATGACAGCCGCTAGGTGAACTCTATTCTCCGTTATCAAGAGAAGTGACAGAGGGTAATGAAGCTCTTTCCAAAACCCGAGGACTTGTTAATAAGTCTCGTTGGGAAGATGGTTGGCTGATTAAGATGACACTGAGAAATCTTTGCGAGCCTGAAGAACTAATGAGTGAAGGAGCTTATAAGAAACAAAATCTATTGAGAGAAAAGACAACCACTACAAGAAGTAGTATAAAACAACTTACTCCAGCAGAGCTGTCATAAGTTAGAAGGGGGTAGAATTAAAGCAGCTTTTAGCAAAACATAGTAGAAAACAGAAATGACATGTTGCAGTTATGTTGCCGGAAGAAAGTACCCTGTAACTTTATAATGAGTACAAATAAACCCAATATACACTTTCTTCACACTATGCTGTGATTTTTGGTTATAATATCCAGAATTTATTAATTTATGTGTGGTAAGAATATGTCTACAAATTATGGGTTCAAGGATAGCATTGTTATTTTAAGTCTGATATATTCTGTACCTGGATTTCAGTCTGAATACCCAGCAAACTTTCCACTAGAAATGGTTAAGGTTTTGTGAGTGGTACAGTGTCAGTGAAAAAACAATGTTATCTTAATTTTGCCATATACTGCCTTTGCTGGTGCTATTTTTTTTTTTACAGTGAAGCAACAGCCTTGCAGCAAAAATAAATAATTTAATAGTAAGACACTCAACATCTAATCACAAAAGAAGAAAAACGAAAAGGCAATCTCCTTCTGTGTGATATACTGCCTCTGAAAACCTGCTGGAGGGTCAGCAATGAGTTGGTCCCAATTATATGAATGAGTTTACATTTTTTTCTTTTTTTAAAAAACTATGGTCTGTACCTGCACCTCATCAGATGTGATGTTTAAATTGCTTGAAGTGAAATCAAATTTTAAAAGAACTCAGTTAACCAGTTGCAATAACCATACTGCAAGTGCTCAGTGGTCACATGCATCTAGTGCCTGCTACACTGGACAGTGTACATATCAAATACTTCCATCAGTTCAGAAACTCTATAACGTAGCACTGGTATAGGAGAGTTTGTATTGTGATAGGCTGCTCACCAAAAGACTGGTGGTTCAAGTCCACCAGGTACTAAGCAAGAGAAGGAGAGTCTCCTCCCTGAGGGACTATGATTTGGAATCCACTTGATGGTAATAAGATTGGCATCTTCAAATAAAAATGGCTCTCAAATTGCCATTAGCAGATGAAATGCAGCAATATGGAAATTACTTGAGAGAAAATGCAAAGTGAAAAAGAAGTTGCTTATATACATACATGCCATGATTGTAACAATATAAAAGTTTAGATTTATTTGCTTGATTGCTAGTTGTCCCCAGGTCAGCTTTGACTCCTAACGATTTTACACATCATCAAATTAAAACTCACTAGAGCTAGTTTTGACTTGAGATTTGTCCCCCAGAGTTTTCTTCTGGAAGCAGGCAATCTTTCTCCTGTTGAGCAGCTGGTGAGTCCTGACCACTGATCTTCTGATTAGCAGCTGAGAACTTGAACTTCTGTGATGCCAGAGCTCCTTTTATGTACCTACCGAAGGTCTGCACACTCATGGGCCAGTACCAGGAGGTCAAAGTTAATCACATCTATCCGCTGATCTTGGGGATCCTGAGGTCTAATGAAGGAAGATGAGAAAACAATTGCTGCTTTATCGTATTGTTGGTAGGTGTTGACACTGCTTTCAATTCATAGCCATGTCATGTGACAGGTCAAAACTCTTTCATAGGTCTTAGTTTGGTTGGGTTTTTTCCAACAATTGTTCCAGGAAAGAAAGATGAACAGTCTTCCTCCCATGTGATTTGTTGTTGTTGTCAGGTGCCACTGGGTTGAGTATGACTCATAGCGACCCTACAAACAAAAGATCTGAAGCCTGTTCTATCCTGTGC